TAATAACATACAATAAATTATGGGTGCAAGGAAACTTCCCTAACATCTGGAAACAAGCAATAGTCGTGCCTATACCGAAAAATGGTCAAGACTTGCACACCACCGAAGGTTACTATAGAAAAGATGGTCAATCATAGACTCATATGGTATCTTGAAAAACATAATTTACTGTCACCTCATCAACACGGCTTTTGTAAAAATAGATCTACTAACGATATACTGGTAACCTTACAGACGGCTATCAGTGACGCGCTAATTAACAATCAAAATATAATACTGATAAGCCTCGGTCTAAAAAAAAGCTTATTACGACACTGTTTGGAGACACATGGTGTTAAAAATTATGCAACAATTCAACATGCTCAAATTTATTAAAAATCASATCTATGATAGAACATTTCAAGTAAAAATTAAAAATACCTTATCCGAACCGTTCACAAAAACATTCTAAAAATAGCCAAACACCAAGAAAATCCAGTGTACAAAAAAATCTTTAAAATAAGGTACCAGGCAAAACCAATAAATGCATCTTATCTTAGATCAATTTATGAAAGACAACAAGATTTCATTATTAAAAACGAAGCCTTAATCAACAATACAATTCAAAGCACTGTATTAAACATGCCCCCTTGGCGATTTAATAAAAGTATAATAGATCTTAGTCTATCATTATACAACAAAAATACTACCTACAGATAAGAATATTTATAAAGGTCTACATTACGAACTTCTGAAATCGTACCAGGAACACACACAGATATATACYGACGTGTCGAAAATCGAGCAGAAGACAGGATTAGCCGTGATATAAAATTATATAAACATACAATTAAAAACTAATGAGGTATGTAGGTAGTATTTGTACTATAGAAGCCCTAGCGATACTTATAGCCATTCAAAGCATTCAATGTACTAACGATAAGAAATATCTATTAATGTCCGATTCTTTAAGTAATTTAATCAACATATACAATTTAAATACGTCGCAACCAATTATCTGCCATATAATTAATGAACTCTATGTACGCAAAAATAGTATRTTATCACTCGCATGGATCCCGGGACACGTCGGCATAAGAGTTACGAAGAAGCTGATCTTAAAGCAAAAGAAACAACAGGTACCGCCGCTTTTGAAGTATGCCCCCTCATATCTGATAGAGACTTGATAAACTCAACCAAATTCAAGTACAYGGATGAATGGCAAAACCTTTGGTTGAAATGTGATAACTAGGGAACGGATTTGAATGCAAATTGCATTTTTTTTCTGAATGTCCGAAAACATTGGTTTCCAAGCAAAAAGTTTATTTCATACATCAAAGAATTAAAAAATGTAACTTTTATTTTGCATTTTTTTGCATTTTTAGAGCATTTTTTGAAATTTTTAGTGCATTTTGTGGTTTTCAAGTCATTTTTTCAACATTTTTTCCACATTCATTCTTAAAAAAAATTAAAATGCCTAAATATGTATTATGTTACGAAATTACGAAATTATTGTTGACACAAAATATATACATACAAGTTACAACAGATTATTACCCACGTTAAGGTAAAGATAAGAGATAAGATAAGATACGATAAAATATTTATCTAAAGTTAATTAATTAAGTTTGTATTGTTTTTAAATATTTTTTATTAGATTTTTCATAATAATGTGTTTTTTATAAGTTTTAAATACAAAATTTWGTTTTTATTGAACACAAACCCATTTTTAAAGTTTTTTGGGGCATTTTTTAGTGCATTTTTTGATGTTAAAGCATTTTTTTAAGGCATTAAATCGTATTTTTYAAGGCATTTTTCTTGTTTTTTAGAGCATTTAAATCCGTTCCCTATAGTGATAACAATTAACTAAGGGAAATAAAACATTCGATACTACCACGGCCCAAATCATTTGAGATGTCCAGAAGAGRCGAGGTAATTCTTGTCCGCCAAAGAATAGGCCACACGCGCATGATTCACGGATATCTCATGGCCAAAGAAGACCCACCGTCATGCCTGACGGGCGGAACAATCATTACAGTCAAGCATATACTGACAGAATGTCATAAATTCAGTGAAAGGCGCATTGAACTTAAACTACCTGAGACACTATACGAGATGCTATCATCCACTCTCGAGACGACCAAAAAACTCMTCAATTTCGTCAACTCAACAGAACTGCGTCAACTGATTTCAATATTCTAACTTAGATTAAAATGCAATAAATCTTTAAATATAGGTAATAAGTAGAAATTAAGCAAGTATGTAAGAAATTAATGTAAATTGAATATGTAACGCCGGCTAATAACCATGCAGTTGATGCCTCAAACAATTAATTAAAAAATAATGTTCAATAGGTACATAAATAGTACGATTCAAGACTAGGCACTAGGATGACGACGTTTATGACGTTCTTCATAATATATAGCACAACACAATGCCAATGTGTTATGTGTAGTTATGGATGATAATTAATTGTGTGTTATTTTATATAATTAAAATCTTATGCCATGATGTATTATCTATTTGTACCTTAATATAAATATTATACACGGTGATTTACCAACAATGCTTACCACATTTTTTACTCAATAATGCAGTTATTCAAAATCTGACTTATGGAATTTTTAAATATATACTTTAAGACAATTTTTCAAGTTTTTGAAATATTTTATTCTAATTAAGGAGTGTCCTGTGAAGATACAAACTTYTGTTTTTAATTGAGAATTCTTCTTTTAACTGTAAATTATACCATGGTCAATAGATTATTTTTATGTAAATGTTAACGTATCAGAATCATAATTAATATACTACGAGTAGTTTTTAATTTATTTAACTTTGAGGGTTTTCCTGTTAACGACAATATTCAAAAATCCCAAAAACTAGCATTTGAATAGATTCATTATTAAAGGAAAAAAACGGTAGTGTGTATATGCTTGGTGAAGTACTCTGTATAGCAAACAGCATTGTATATACTAGGCACTTTATAAATTATAATTCCCTATTTTTTTCAAATATCATCTCATATTTTCATAATTTATTTATCCAATTAAATTTTAAATCAATTAATTTATGTTAATTAAAGTTCACAGAAAACTTAAAGAACTTTAAAATCATGTATAATTTATTTAGAGTTTTAAATTTCGGTATTCAAATTAATGATTTCTGAGTTCATTTTACAAATAATATTTTGTATTATAACTATTAATAAAGAACATTTTATAAATAATTGTAAGTTAT